CTGTACATTTCCTGGTATGTGGGGCAGGAAACATAGCCTTATTTGGTGTTTTTAGGGTGGTAATTTTGCTAATCCCTCGTGCACGAGCAGCTGAATATGAACAAGTGGCATTCATCAGTTTATGATGCTCATTTACACTTTTCCTGAAGATAGAAGAGTTTGTTGAATCTGACGTGACATGTTCGTACGAACCCTTTGTACGAACAAAAGTAAGAGAAATTTAGGAGAAGAATACGAACATGTTCTTGCATGAGGCCCATTGTTTTCATACTGGTTTTTTTTTCTTTTCAGTGATTTTTGGTCAAACGTAGCACAAAAACAGCTGCACCGGTCAATATGAAATTTAGCAGGACTGTAGATGAGTCTGACCTACACTGTGCCAGCCAACAGTTTTACGATAGACCCCATATTTGAGGAGGGGGCTCCTTTTAAAGAGGGGGTGTCTGCACATGCAAAAATGCTTATAACTCATAAACTGTTCAACATAGAAGCTTCAGATTTCTTTTGTTGTTTAGCTCTGATGAAGCTCTATCCATCAGGCCCACCAACCAGTGCCCCCCACAATTTATCTGAAAAAGGGGTATGGTTGTGGCTCAAAAACTATGAATCAGAATCCGTTTTATTGCCATTGTCAATGAACAGGATTCACAGACTAGGAATTTGCTTCGGTGTAAAGGTGCAGAAGTTATCAAATATAACAAAAGAAGAAAATACAAAGAATAAAGGAAAAATATAATAAAATACAGAATTCAATACAGTATTCGGAGCAGACAATGTATTTGGGGTAGTGCAGTTAGATCCAATGATAAAAGTGACCAGAAAAACAATATAGTCAGAGTTGTGCTGTTTAAGAAACCAGTGATAAAGTGGCAGAAAGATAGGAGCTTCAGATTTCTTTTGTTGTTTAGTTCTGATGAAGCTCTATCCATCAGGCCCACCAATCAGTGCCCCCCGCCCCCCCAATTTATCTGAAAAAGTGGTATCTGCACATACAAAAATGGTTATAGCTCACAAACTATTAAACATAGGAGCTTCAGATTTCTTTTGTTGTTTAGCTCTGATGAGGGGCTATCCATCAGGTCCAACGCCGCCACCCCCCAAAAAAAAGACCCCCACCCAAACCACTACAATTTTGGGATGCACCTAGTACCATGACATCTATTAGGAATAAATACTTCTGAGTTCTGGTGCATTTGTGTGTGCGGGGGTCAGTATGTTGCCGTTATGCGGTATCTAGTTTGTCTTCCTCTCTGGCTTCATAAAATAACTGCAGTTACCGCCTCACTGTGCATGAAGCTTACAAAACTCACTGGGATGAAGGGGGGGGGGGGGGGGTTACGGACCCGAAACAACAAGCATCATCAGGTACTGAAGCTAACCAGCAGCTAAAGCTCAGCTTAGCAAGTTTGCTGGTATCAAACTCACTCTTTGGTGAGCTAGCAACAAGCTGTCATTTAGCAGCAGCAGTTTCATATTTCATCACCATGCCTCATAGCTGCTTAAAAATAAAAAAAAAGAACAACATGACAGGATAACATGAGTGCAACAGCTCAAGAGGAAGTTGTAGATAAAGCCAGACAAAATAGAAAAAGTCTCGTCACCGTCAACTTTTTTCTCCTGGTCTTTATTTCAAACAGGTAAAACAAGAAACTAATCAATAATTATCAATATTGACCCATACAGTATGAAACACTTCTATTGTGATAAATCTTTCAGCAGTATCACCCAGCCCTGTTTCCAGCTTGATTTCTGGAGCCCAGAGACCTGTGGTTCCATTCAAGCCGGGTTTCTGGGTCTGATAAATGTTGGCCATTGATTGTTTCACTGGCACTGTGGTACGCCCAACTTCAGACTTCTTCTAGCAGCACACAGCCTCCTTGAGATATATAT